GGAGGGTTCAGGGTATCTCCTAGTCGAGCAGTCTCGACTAGAGCCTTTTTACTTGATTTTTTTTTTTTCAAATGCATTTTCAAGCACTCTCGCATTTTCATTGGTTGACTAAAAGCTTTCCATTATCAGTTAATTAAATAATAATAACAATAGCAGAAACTCGCAAACGAATCTATTTCGGGCTCGGCTTAAACTCGCATAATTCAATTATAAACTTGTGTTATTTCATTTATGCCTTATCATTTTTTATGCTCGTATCCTGGAAAGCCTTCTGACACATTTCGAGCGTGACTTGTGATTTGCGGAGTAAGGGCGGGGGAAAATATGAGACGACCCAACAATAGTGAATGCTGAGCGTTGCCTACAAATCAATCAGGCTGCATATCATGTCAGAGGCATCAGTGAAAAAGGCAAGCGATGAGAATAGCCTCGCACCACGCGGCGTATACGTAACTTATTGAAAAACTTTCCAAATCAAAGCACAATGTATCTATAACTAGGTGTGTATGTGTGTGTGTGGGTTTGTGTGTCAGAGAGCGTGTGTGGGTGGGTGTTTGTGTCTGTAGCCAATGACAACATCAATAGTTTCGCAAAGTGTCAGCGGAGGCTGCTTGAACATTTCCGTGCCACAGTATCTGCTCGAAAAAGAGTGTGGCAGAGGGACTGGCAGAGGGGGGGGGGGGGGGGGGGGGGGGGGGGGGGGGGTAAGTCGATAGCCAAGTTTTTGCCTACGCTGACTGTTGCATGTTGTCCCATTGTTGGCACAGCACCACCACCACCACCAACAACAACAACAACAGAAGCAGTGGCTGAGCTAGAGGCTGTGGCAGAGGCTGCGGCAGCAACAGAAACAGAAACAGCAGCAACTAAAGCTAAGCGTGGGCGTGGCATGTTTATCTGTTACTGTGCGACAGCCAAGGAAACGCATTCAAGCAGTTTTTCATTTACATTTTCATTAAAACAAATCACACTGAAAATGTCATTTGCAAAAAGCACAAAGCAATGCGACCGCAGGCGACTTTTCCCCCTTCCACTGATACTCCGACTGCTCCTCTGTGTGTGTGTGTGAGTGTGTGTGTTTTCTTTGAGCCAGGGGGCGCCTAGTGTTGGGGCTTCTGCTTCTATCAAAGGCCTGCGACAGCTCATAATTCTCTGGATTCTTATTTTATTTTCGTTTGTTTGTTTGATTGTCTGTGCGCTGGCACTGCAGGACCAGTACGAAAATGCTCAGAAGTCCGACGACATCGCGAGCGCGTGGGTGCAACAAGGATAAGCAGCTGCAGCAGCAGCAGGACGACCGCCTGACCATTTAGAAATCACAGCTCAAGTAAGCAAAAGCCAGACCAGGCACATCTTGTGCACAATCTATAGTGCATTCTCAGGCGAGGCAGTAAATTCAAATCAGAGCAAATCAAATATCACGCACACGCCATGGAGCCAGTCATGAGCTTGGCACTGGCCGCCCATGGGCCGCCCAGCATACTGGAGCCGTTGTTTAAAACCGTAACTACGAGCACAAGCACAACAACAAGCACGACGGCAGCCACGACGAGTAGCAGCAGCAGCAGCCCCACCATCAGCCCCGCCATAACTACCAGCAGCACCCTGCTGACGGCTCTGCTTGAGAACCTGACCTCAACGGCGGCGAGTGGCCTCTACGATCCGTATGGGAACCACACGAACTCCAGCCTGGGCTTTGAAACGAAGGGGCCGAGGTACTCAGTAGCCTCGATGCTTGTTATGGGCTTCGTAGCGGCGATTCTGAGCGCGGTGACAGTTGCGGGCAACCTCATGGTGATGATCTCGTTCAAGATCGACAAGCAGCTGCAGACGATCAGCAACTATTTCCTCTTCTCGCTGGCCATCGCGGACTTTGCGATCGGCGCCATCTCGATGCCGCTCTTCGCGGTCACCACGATACTGGGCTACTGGCCGCTGGGGCCGCATGTGTGCGACACCTGGCTGGCCCTCGACTACCTGGCCTCGAACGCCTCCGTGCTGAACCTGCTCATCATCAGCTTCGACCGGTACTTCAGTGTCACCCGGCCGCTGACATATCGCGCCAAGCGCACGACCAACAAAGCGGCCGTCATGATCGGCGCTGCCTGGGGCATCAGCCTGCTGCTGTGGCCGCCCTGGATCTACAGCTGGCCCTACATCGAGGGCAAGCGCACGGTGCCCAAGGACGAGTGCTACATCCAGTTCATTGAGACGAACCAGTACATCACCTTCGGCACTGCACTGGCTGCGTTCTACTTTCCCGTTACGATCATGTGCTTCCTCTACTTCCGCATCTGGCGGGAGACGAAGAAGCGCCAGAAGGATTTACCCAATTTGCAGGCCGGCAAGAAGGACTCCAGTAAGAGATCCAACAGCAGGTGAGTTGATTTACTGATTACTGATTTACTGACTAATATCTTCTCATATCGAATAAATACGTATATCAGCTATAAATATATCAACATACATACATATAATACAGTATTAACAGTGGCCAATTATATGTGCAGACTTTTTAAATGGCTTGATAAGTATGATATGTATAATAATACATAATCTTCTATACATATAAAAGAGAGTTGTGAAGTGAAGTGTTCCTACACTTATAACTCGAGATCTGCTGGACCAATTTTCATGGTTTTTGATTTGTTGGATTTGTCTCCGCTACGAGTAGGATA